TGCAAATTTCAATAAGAAAACACAGTAGCTACCATCGGTCCATCGACGCCTATATAAATGAATGTTAAACACAGCAGAGACCATTTCGCCCCGGACATTGGTCCTGTGTATCCAGCCAGTGATTATTCTAAATTCGAATTTTGACATTCGATCGGTATCGGTGTTCGATTTGACAGCTCGCTTTTTTTTTTCACATGAACGTTTTAAATTTGGAAAAGTTTTATTTGTGTTGCGTTCCGTTCACACGTGCTTTCCGTTCGTTTGGAATTTTTTTAAGGTATTTATTTATATCTTTTACTTTATAGTGTGTAAGTTTTATTTACAATTATGTAATATAACGCACGTATGCAAGATAAGGCAGGAATTATGTTAATTATATAGTAATTTTATCAGGGGAAAATTCCTATAGGTATGTTAGTGCTAACCAAATTCGGGAACTTATCAAATATCGATAACAGCTTATTTACTTTTTCTTTTCCCTTCCATTGTTATGTAACGAGCGTTTACAAGTGATAAATTGAACAGGAAAAACGTTGGACTTTTTTTTTCCTTTAGTGTGATTTTTTAAATTCTTTGTTTCTTCGATTTGACACTGCGCCGGCTAAATCCAATAATAATGATTTACTATTTATTGAAAATCTATCCTCTTATATATTTTAAATGAATAGTAAACTATAAACTAGACTATATCTATAAACTAGACGGGGAGGGTCCGCGTTATTTCACTTTTTTTTAAAGAAATACATACCAAGTACATCACTAAAAATGTAGCTTTACTGTGACGTAGATTTTTTTAAATTGATTAAGTATTTTATGAATTTATCCAATATAAACAATTAAAACTGCATTCCACAAAAAAAAAACACTCACAATTGTGATAAAACCAGTTTTTTCAATTTAAAAACTAAACTACTGTAGCGATTTCGATAAAATTCCTATTAGGACTAATCTGTAAGTATATCCTTTCAAGTGAATTTCCCAAATCGGTTTACAACTAACGGAGTTATGAGGTAACAAACATAAAAAATATTAAACCGAGCTGAGAACCTCGCATCTTTTTGAAATCAGTTGAAAAATAAAAAAAAATATTCCTCTTCATAATATTAGTTAAGGCAACACTCGAGTATTTTTAAAATTAAAATTTTTACTGTATTTAATTTTACAAATGTAATATTTAAAGTATATATATATACGCGTTGAAAGAAAAAAAACAATAACTGGTATTGTAAATCCTTACTAATATAATATAATGTATGTAAATTTAATTTAATATAATTCGATGTAATAAAACAGATGTAATATTAAATTAAAATAAAAATAAAAATCGGTTTTATATATATATATATATATATATATATATATATATATATATATATATATATATATATATATATATATATTCTTTATTGCACTTGTAAGTTACATATAAAATAATCTATTTATAAATGTCGTGAGCAAGGGTGGACTTATCTCTGACAGAGATCTCTTCCAGTCAACTCAGTACAGTAAGAAAGAATTTCGTTAGCGGGCTGCTGAAGTTACTATCTTATAGCGTCATAAATCACTATGAAATTGTACCCCATGTATCTACTACATGGGATAGAGAAGGATAAAAGCTACTTTTCATCGCATTCAATAAGAATAGATATTTCCACACAGACGAAGTCGTGGTTAAAAACTATTTAGATATAATTAACTAATATCCGTCATTATATACCCTTAAAAATATAAATACGAATGAGTTAATTTCTTTGTAACATCTTGGCATTTTAACGTCTCAGTTAATCGTCGTAAAATTTGACATAGACTCAGTATTTGGAATTTAGAAGGGCATAGGCTATTTTTATACTAATCACGCAGACGGAGTCGCGGTTAAAAAGTTGTCTAAACCAATTCCCATTAGATATATACTAGGGCAAATTTATTTTATTCATTGAATGAATGAATGAATGAATATTTATTGGCAAGAAATATGGTAAATATACAGATAGATAAAATAATATTAAGTCCACATATTTCGCCACAATTAGGCATACAACATTTTAAATACTTAAATATTAAATTAACAACTCTGTTTAAAAAAAAACAATATTTCAAATACAATTTCATTTCGATTAATGTATTTAATTTGATATTAATACTATTTATTTGATATTTATTTATAAAATACTAGCGACTCGGCCCGACTGCGCACGAGTGGATGGAACTTTCGAAATAAGATTCAGTCTACATTACTCGTTGATTATAAAACTTTTTATAGATGATTTTTGTTTTTAAATCGATTGAGTTTTTGAGTTTATCCATTACAAACCGTCAAATTCTTCCTTTATATTATATTAATACAGAAAGTTTGTATAGTTCTATAGTTTTTATATGACATATTAAGCTATATGTTCTAGAAGGCTCTATTGATGTATTTAAAGCTTTATGTGAATGGGAACATGTAAAAAAAATTATAAATTATAATGAGATAACTTACTGTAATAAACAAAGTTCTTAGATAATTACATACATATCATTTTCTGATAAAATCTATACAAATAATTAATTCTTTTATTAGATGTGTTTGTTAAATAAAACTACAATGTGACTAGGAATTCTGATGCAGCGTAAAAGACTAGTTACTTATCCATTCAACTGGATTTTTGTATATATAAAATATAGTAGTATAGTAGTGTTTGTGGTGAGAAATAATAATAAATAAATAAATTGTTATATATAATAAAAAAAAATACATCGATTAATTTAACAACTTTTCAACAAGAGTGGACTTATCTTTGTTAGAGATCTCTTCCAGCCAACCCAAAATACATTGTACACATATAGCAAATGCTAATGAATCCAATATATAACAAATAACTAAATTAAAAAGGAATAAAAAAAAGCTATAGGACTTCTAAAAAGGCTATAACACTATATTTAATACGAAACCCTCTCAAATATATATCCAACCTCCACTTGACCGGTCTCAAAATAGTTTCAGTGACAAACGCAACTTTTATTTCATATCTCACTTTTTTTAACCTTTCTTCTTTGAATTTTTTCTTCGCCGCTAGCCTTCTTAGAAGGCAATAGTTTTTATAGTAAATCGTTAGAAGGTGAATCATACTGTCAACATAAGGTGTTACTAGATGTTTTTCATGGCTTTACTTGGTTGCATTTGGATAACAGATATCCTGTATGTTGCTCTAGTATATAGTCTATCTCTATACAAAATTTCACTCAAATCGATCCAGTTGTTTAAACATAATTGAGGAATAAAAATATCTTTAAAAAATATTAAATGAACGATAACTTTATTTGATCGAATACAGGTTAATAATACATTAAAAGTATTTAATGTTAAAGTAAAAACTCTCTGCAGTCAGCCATGCGGCGTGCAAATATTTCATTCGGAACTTGTTGTTAAAGTTTTACATATAAATATTCTTTAAATGAATAAAATCATTTCCTCGATAAGTTAATTGTAAAGTTTTTCATTAATATTAACATTTTTAATTTTAATAAAATGTTAATTATTTTTTTATTACATTAACCACAAATTACGATTTACATCGTGACCAGTATCGAGTATAGAACGGGACACGTGACTGAAGTCTATTCTAATAAGAATAATTGAAATCGGTACGCGCTCCGAAACCTTAGCTCTACTGCTGGTTCAGTTAAAAGAGTTTTCATTTTACTTTTTATTTTACAAACTATCTTTTTGCCCGCTACTTCGTACGTAATTTGTACTGATTTTCAGATGTAGGAAATCCAATTTTTTTTATACAACTTAGAATGGCAAACAATTGTATGTTTAATTAATTAATGAAATATATTATTTATGCATCATTTATGTAAGTATGTATCTATATAATACAATTATATCTTTGGCTGTTAAATTGGCTACATAGGTTACACTCTGGGTTTGTTGCACGCGTCCGTGTAGCCTAACTTCAGGCTGTAGCTGAAAATCAGTGCTTTACTTTTAAGCAAAACTATCACTGAGCTGTAGCCTATTTGGGTCACTGCGACACACATGGCGAAAACATATTTTCCTATTTTATCTTTTGTTTTTTATTTAAAAAAACGTAAATAATTTGGTTGTATAAACTTATTTGTAAATTTACGTGTCATAAATGGCTTGAATAAAAAGTTTATCTATCTATCAAAAATACAACAAGTTTGAAGTTACACCTTCAGGAACACAACTGTGTGAACCTCATACAATTTGATTTACTTTTTCTATGACACCGGAACAGAAAGACAGACAAGCGGAAAATTAAAAAAAAAATAGTGTTTAAGAATCTATTAGTGTTATGGAAAATTAATATGGACACATAATAATTTTTCTTATATATTTTTTTTATTTTATATATTTTCTATATACAGATCTTAGAGTAGTTACAATTTTATTATACACCTTAGAGCGGTGTTTCCCAACACAGGGTCCACGCCCCACAAGGGGTCAATGTGATAGTTAAAGGAGGGCAATTAAAAAATGGACTCGAAACGATTTTAACCCTCTTGCTTCGGGCTATTTAAAAGCAATGCTACGAGTAGATATCAGTGCCTAATTAAACAAAAAGGTAAATAAAAAAATGCTGTAAATATTTATTAGGTATAATTTCGTTTGACATTACCAAAATATCAACTGGGCGATTAGAGTCGTCGAGTAAACTTTGTCGGGAAAAATTATGTATGAGGGCATACAAATTTTAGAAATTTTCAAGTGGGGCATGGCACAAAAAAGGTTGGGAAACAGGGTAGATGGTCGCGTACAGCGCTGTTTCAGAGATATTTTCTCCCACGAACGCTCAGGTTATGGAATGAGCTCTCTGTCGAGGTTTTTACAAGAGACTACAGCATGGGATTCTTCAAAAAATGGATAAAGAGGTTTCCTCAGAGTCATCATTACAAGTTTTCATAGGTTACTGTAACCGCTTACCATCAGGTGGGCCGTATGCCTATGAAGACGCTAAGATAAATATACTAATGTCAATTTTCTTCTTTTTCAGATAATACCGTGATTAGAATCTCTTCAGTATTAATAGCTATCGTCTAGAATGTACTATATAACACTAGTTGTCGCCGCGGCGTTACTCGGGGGCGGCTGTAGATCTGCAAACGTCAACAAACACTTGAGAATGTTACCACACATCGATAACAATATTGAATCAAACGGTAAGTTGGTTTACATAATACACTATACATATACTGGGTACAGAGGAATAACATCTGAGTCCTCAGGAATGGCAACGCATGGGGGGTATCATGGGCGAAACAGTATACTCTGTTATGTCCATGGTACTGCTCATGTCTATAGGCGATGGTTACCATTTTCCATCAGGTGGGCCGTCAGCTTGTTTGTCATTCTAAGTTGTATTAAATACACCAATTTCTAAATTACACCTTCAGGACAAACATGGTATAGTTACTAATTTCCTACATTAGTAGATAAGATTTAAAATACTACATCTATACATAATCTAGGAATAAAAATGTTCCTTCTATAGAAAGTCACTTAAGTTCACAGTTCAAATTTGTTAAAAATTAAAATTTTATTTTTTCCATCACCATAATGAGAGTATCATATTTTGAGTATAGTTCAATGCCCTCTTTATTCATTAATACATTTTCTATCTCTAAAAAAAACTTAATTAAATTGTTTATGAACTACCTTTTTTTTATTTAACAACTAAACTACTGAATCTGTTTAAAAAAATAGCTATAAGACAGATTTCAAAATATATCCAACTACCTTCAACTAAATAAAAATCCAAATAGATTCATACTTAAACAACAGAGTTCAGAAGTAACAAACATAAAAAATGCACACAACTGAATTGAAAATCGTCTCCTTTCTTGAAATCCACTGAAAATAAGATGCCCAAATGACCCCGCGTCCCATTCATAAATCATAAAATTATTGTGAACAGCGACATCTATTTTGAATTGCTAATCGAACAAATGTCGGTGAGTTCAGATTTAAATCTTTAACAGGACAATACCGATAAGGCGTCGTTAACATTCTGGGAGGTGTTTACAATTCCATACATCGCGTATGACCCGTATTCAAAATGGTGATCTGATCTAAGAGATTAGGCACCTACAATTGTTATACTGAAATCGTTATAATTCAACAATGTACAATTGTATGTATCTCTGTGTACTTTGTTTGTGTTTCTACGTAATGTAAAGTTGCCTAATTTCCTTATTTAACCTTTAACTGTCCACTGCATAACATAAGCCCCTTGGGAGGTTTTGCCAGTAGTTGCAGCACTCGGAAGGCTGATTGGCAACCGTAGGCTTTGGAGATATTTTACCTTATCGCTAAAATTTGTGAAAGCGATCTCTTCCAGACCACCGTTGGATGGAGAAGAGTAATTATAAACAGTTTGATTGAAGGCACGATGAAAATTAATATTCTATATTCTTTATTGCACTTGTAAATTATATTGTTAATGCATTTATAAATATTGTGAGCAAGGGTGGACTTATCTCTGACAGAGATCTCTTCCAGTCAACCCAGTACAGTAAGGAAGCATGTCGTTAGCGGGCAGCTGAAGTGCTACAACTATTAATATTTAGAGTACATAAACAAATATACAGTTAAATAAAATATTAAGATACATAATAAAATATTACATAAATACATATACTATGAATAAATATAATACCTACCTACTTATACAATGGATGTTAAAATAAATGTAATGTAATAAACTACCTACAATAGATATTTATTTAAACGATTTTAAGGTTTGACAGTTCAATTAGAAAAATGAAATCTTAAATTTTAAATGTATTTTTGAAGTAGTTAACAATTTCTGCCAGAGCGTATCCAAGTTAATGGACATGTCAGATTTAAAATGATACCTTCAGGGTTGCAAGTAGTTGCCACGCTAAACAGGCGGATGGACAACGTCAGGTTTTGGAGATGTTTTAAGAGGGACGCTGCTGCTCATCCCTCGCCCTCCCTTAGTCAGCTTACGACACTACGGGAAAGGGAGAGGTAGCCTTTTCTGTGCCGGGACCACACGGCCATTTATAGTAATTTTTTAATTCATACAAATTTGATATAACTATTTCCAGTGGTAGCAACAAAACAGTCAACAATGGTGAAACTGCTGGCCATTACGCGTCGACCGAAACTCCACAACCCTCATCCGCCTGGCACGACTGTTGAACTGACTTGCGAAGCTTACGGCACGCCAGCGCCATCTATACAGTGGTACAAGAACGACGCGCCGGTTTACGAGGTGGGTTTATTTTTTCAATACAATAAAAATGGCAGACAAGCATACGGTCCGACTGATGGTGAGTGACCACCGCAGCCCGTGAACGATTGCAATACTAGAAGTGTCGCTCGCGCATTACTGAGCCCCATGAAAATCTTATATCACAGTTTTTAATGCAACTTAGAATGGCAAATAAGCTGACAGCCTACCTGATGGAAAGTGGTAACGTCAACCTGATAAGGTATATTGCTAGCAACGGGGCTGTTAAATCTCATTACTAACAATCCCTCCCCTGGGGGGAAAGAGATTGCTAGCAATGGAGTTCGACATTGCTAGCAATATACCCTATCAGGTCGACCTCCACGTGGTTCAACCTGGAAACCATCGTGATCAATTCTCGTTGAATTCGTCACGATGGGCTAATTGACCTGCTTCATCCTCACCTATCATCTTTCACTGGAGCCCCGCCGGTGTATACCAATAGCGCGGGTGGGGTTACCATTCCATTATCACCCATTAAAAAAAACAATCCCCCCTCTCGATATTAGTTGCATGTGTTCAATATGTGACCTTCTTTACAGCACGATATGGAGTCTAATGAGCTGGTAGACACAAATCCGACATCCCTCGCCCGGGTGGTATCCACGCTGCTGGTTACAAGGACGGACACTCGGGACCAGTACACGTGCCTTGTGAAGGCTGGGATGAGGGTTGAGAGGGCTTCATGCACAGTCTACAGGACGGGTGAGCTATGATCTTAATTTCTTACTTAAATTGGCAAATATGCTGATGACCAACGTGATGGAAAGTGGTAACCGTCACCTATAGACTGGACAGCAGTATGGACATCATGGAATACTTTGTAAAACCCATGGCACCCCTCAAGCTATGAATTTTTTGTGCAACTTAGAATGACAAAGAAGCTGACGGCCCACCTGATGACAAGCGTCAACCGTCTCCTATAGGTATGAGCAGTACCATGGACATAACAGAGTATACTGTTTCGCCCATGATACCCCCCATGCGTTGCCATTCCTGAGGACTCAGGTGTTATTCCTCTGTACCCTGTAAATTCACTGTCATATCCCACCCTTCAAACCGAAACACAGCCATTCCTGAGAACTATAGTGTTTGGCATGTGTGTCCTGTAATTTCATTGCCATATCTTACCATTCGAAAGGGAACAGCCATGAAAGCACAACTACTACACAGTTAAAATACGAATGGGACAAAGGTACCCATACATACTTTCTTACAGAGTCTCTCACTGGTATTATATTTATTTATTTACAATGTATATACATATTTTTGGTGGGTAAAAAAATCATACATTATAATAATACAATAATAAAAAAATAATAAAAATTCTAATTTTTCTATAAAAAATAAATATTAAAAATGCATTTCTGCGTAATTTGTTACCGGTCTGCAATTATAAAATACCTGCTTTTTATATTTAAAGATTAGCTGAGCTGATCATCATCAGCTCAGGCATTATTTGTCCACTGCTAAACATAGGCTTCCCCATAGACTCCCCATGAGAAACGGTTCTGAGCCACATACATCTGCTGACTCCCTACAATGCATTTGAGGTCATCATTCCATCTAGTACGAGATGATCCTACACTTTATTTGCCTTTACGGAGTCGCCACTGTTTGTACGAACAGTATGTTATGATATGGCATGTATGGGATATGGCAATGAAATGACAGGATACGAAAGCGTAACATCTTAGTTCTCAGGAATAGTGCTCGTAACGTCCATGGTGTACCATGGAAGTTAGAATCGACCCCGTCATCTCTAGTCGAATCATGGATATAAAAGATTTAAACGAGTTTCACTCGTGTTGACAAATGAATATTTTTGTAAATTACTAGTTTTTTAATACTCGGGGTCGTACAACTACATTATTAATTTACTGAATAACTAAATTACATGCAAATATTACTTGTAAATTCATACATTATTAAAAAAACATATGTAATTGTTTTTTTAATAACGTATGCAATGTGCCAGTAGCAATTAAATGAACGCCTGCCAAATATGTGTTAGCAAATATGTATATTTGCAACTTATATTCAATTGAAATTTTTCTTTTCCTTTTTTGTACTTTATATCTAAATTAAAATTATAAAGAGAGAAATATATATATTGTTTTGTTCGTAATGGATAAATTAATAAAATATTATAATTCTAAAAATAATTTTACTTAAAAAAAATAGTTACATTATCAGCGAGTAACATAGACTTTATTTAAAAAAAAAATTTAAAGAGATTACCTATTCGAAGCCAAGTTGGATTGCTAGTATTTTAAAGCAAACTTAAATAAGTAAACTTATTATTTGTGACCTCTTAAAGCTTTAACGGCTCGACCACTCTCTATAAAATTTGCTGTACACATATGTACTACTAGGTATGGGGAAATAAATAGATCCTTATTTATCCCGGTTAATTAACGTACTCTACAGACGAAGTCGTATATAAGAACTAGTAAATAAATAAACTAACTTCGTTTCTTCCTCCCAACAACAGATGGCAGCACTGAGGTGACGGAGCGCTCCAAACTACTGCCACTGGCGCCTCGGATATTGGTGTCGTACAAAGCCTACATCGACGTCATAGGCAGTAATGTGATGCTGCCCTGCAGAGTCAGGGGTCACCCTCGACCGACCATCACGTGGACGTGGAAGAACAACAATGGCACCAGTGGAACTGTCACCAAGCATAATCCAAGAATGAAGGTGAGATATAATACAGACCCTAGAAATTTCCGCCGCTACTCGATAACAGAGGGCGTTGTTAGTTTCTTCTGTGAAAACATTATGGAAAATGAGTAAAATTATATATCTTTACTATTCTCTCCAAAAGATCTAGAATAAAATTACAATAATAAACTTACCAAAGGGAGCCTGCAAATGTCATCATTTTGGGTACATACGTCCCACTCGTGTTTCTGTCGTGTAGCAGCTGTGCTTATATTGCCGTATTAAAACATAACAATAAAACATGGCAGTTAAATTACAAGATATAGTTGTTCTTTTTGTTTGTAAATTGTAATAATATTGTACACCGCTCTACCCGCTGACATTGATGCTCCCTTCCACTTTGCGTGTTGCTGGTGGAGAACTCTTAGAGTTAAGCTCGCCTTTATACGACAATATAACCTTCAAGAAAAGAGCATATTCCTTTTTAAAAGGCCGGCAGCACACCTGCAATGTTGCTAGTGTTGTGGGTGACCATGGGCGGCGGTAGTCACTTACCATCAGGTGAGCCGCATGCTCGTTTGCCCCTTCGTAAAAAAAAAACATTTGATTACCTCTGTCATATTATTTATGTATTATTAGTGTGTATAATAAAATATAATAATAAACAAAAAAATAAATATCGAGACATAACACCATGGTCCTCAGGAATGGAAACGCATATGGGGTACTATGGTTTTTTTATTATTATTTCACCCGTTAACCGTCCACTGCCGGGGGGAAAGGAATTGTCAGCAACGGAGTTTGACAGCCCCATTGCTAGCAATATGCCCTATTAGGTCGCCCTCCACGCGGTTCCCCCTGGAAACTTGTTTCTTCTTGTTTATTCTTGTTGAATTCGTCACGATGGGCGAACTGACCCGCTTCATCCTCACCTATCATCCTTCACTGGTGCCCCGCCGGTATATACCGATAGCGCGGGTGGGGTTACCATTCCATTATCATCCATTAAAAAAAACCGTCCACTGCCGGACAGGGTAGTCTATTTTACGCCGGGACCACACGGACAACTTCACGGGTGCACGGAGATCGACAAATTTATTAAATAAACTAATTAAATTCCAGGTGCTACGCTCCGGTGAGCTTATAATCTCGCCGCTGCGGTGGAGCGACATGGGGGAGTTCACGTGCCACGCGACCAACATGTTCGGCAGCCAGTACGCCAACACATTCGTCTATCCCGCTAAAGTAAGCTGCAATCTTTTGCAACCTCATTATTTCATGTTATTACAATTTTTACTTTACGTCTGTTATAATTCTTATTAACAGACAGGCTTTTTTAAGCAGCATAACTTCTACCATTCAACGGTCTCTCGTGCTCGCCCCTTTTTTTTTAATTCGCTACTAATTCCTATCAATGATAGGAATTTTAACCCTTCTTTGCATGATTTTTTTTTATCGATGTAATAAATCAAGGTGGTATAATTCATGTTCAGAATTAAAGGAAAAATGGTTAAAAAAATTAATTTGACAGCTATGTTTTTTTTCTGCAATGGTCATTAAAAAGGTATCCAGACACGATCAACTTAAAGTGAACTTGTTCTTTTATATAATTTTTGGGCATTCAATGTTATGATGGAAATTTCCACCAGTATGCAAAGAAGGGTTAAGATATTTATTCTAACGTTGTTTTTTATCACCTCAGGATATAAAAGGCCTTTTCCAACGAAGATACATGGTTTATATATGATTGGGCTACAGCCACAAATTAAGTGTACGCCGCAACCTTCCTTCTCCTTCTTTCTTTCTTCTTCCTGGTCCTGTAGGGTGTGAGGTTGAACTCCCTGTCGATGGCGAGCCGTACGATGGTAAAAAATGGCCGTGGGCATCATATTGAACAATTTCTCTGAGCACAATCCGTTGTATAAGCAGTAGAACAAGTTATTTGTTTTAATTTATGCATTATTCTTGTCCACAGGCGGGGTAACCCATGTCTATAGTAATCACACATACAAGCGTGAAGCATACTTAAACTGGATGTTCCTGTTATTAATTAAGTTAAAGATAAAAAAACGTTAAGAGCCTTACACACGCACGCGGGAAACGCTGCGTTTCTGTTACCAAACGCACGACCATAAGAACTTAAAAGTGTTATATTTTATAATATTTGAATACTTGTTCTAAAAATATTTAATATGATAAGGATGTTTACGCAAAGCAGTATGAAGGTGGCACTTAGACGTGAAAACAAAGAGTGACTTTAAAAAAAAAAACATAAAGGCGGGAATCGTTTTTTTTTTTATTTTCCCGCCTACAGACTAAAGCAGAAACAAAGTATAAATATGTTATGACACAGTGGCGCCCACATCGGGATAAATGAACAGTAAACTGCAGGCAGAAAAAAAAAATAGTTATCTCCACAGAGTATTGTACTGTTTTATTTGACAGATACGTTTTAAATGTATTTTTAAATAGCATATCTTTTCAGACACGCGGTAATTTATTATTGGAATATAATTTTTCATATTTTAATAGTGTTAACCTGTGATTTTATGTATTATATATGTATTCTCTAACAATTTCTAATTGTTACATTGTCATATGTCTAATTTTAAATAAAAGTTTCAAAACAATGTATTTTCTTCTCGCTCGATGACAATATTTCAAAACTGCAATAGAATCACGCAATAGATTACGAGTGCAAATTTTTGAAAGCGACTTTTGAATATGCCAATTTCAAAAATACATATTTTGATTTGACGTAAATAGTTCTCTAAATTTAGTATTGAGAGAATTGTTACAGTTTTTCGTAATTAGATTTTATCATTTATACAAATGAGTACTTATGAAAGATAAGTTAAGTTTGAGTATGTAATCACATTGAGTTGAATTCTATGACCAAAGCAAAAATTTACGCCACATCTTTCAAGTGGTAGAAACAGAAGGAACCGAAAAATATGTGTATTTTGTTTCATTCCTTTTCATAACATATATATGATATATATGTATAACAACTTATGTATATTAGGTGTGGATAATATATATATATATATATATATATATATATATATATATATATATATATATATATATATATATATATATATATATATATATATATATATATATATATTATATATTGTGTAGAGTGCACATATTCGTAAATAGATATGACAGAAAAGGGCGTAATTAGTACATATTACCCATACCTAATACCTATGTATTAGTAAAAACTTATAATCCAGAAATATTTTTAAATTGTTATGTGTCAATGTTTTAAATCTCACCAGTCACCGGAGGGAGGGAGACTTTGTACAAAAGTCGTTTGCTTGGACACCTCTGTCCCATTCGTGTTTCAACCGTGAAGCAGTTGTGTTTGCATGGCTGTGTTTCGGTTTGAACGGTGGGGTATGACAGTGAATTTACAGGATACAGAGCAATAACACCCGAGTCCTCAGGAATGGCAACGCATGGGGGGTATCATGGGCGAAACAGTATACTCTGTTATGTCCATGGTACTGCTCATGTCTATAGGCGATATTTACCACTTTCCATCAGGTGGGCCGTCATCTTGTTTGCCATTCTAAGTTGTATAAAATAAAATAATAAACGACATTTTCTGTTTTATATATTATGAAACGGCAGCGATCCGCATGTTTGTGTGTAATGCCTTAACAAAATGGAGTCTGCCTATTTTTATAGTTTTTTTTTATTATTATTATTATTGTTAAAATATTAAATTATAATTATTGCGAGTACTGCGAAGTAACAAGGTATAATAACGTATTATTTAATACATAATAATAATTGTGATCAAGTTCAAATAATATTGTAACTTTACTATTGTAAACTGTGATTCAAAAGATATGGAATAAATATTAAAAATGTTTCTTAAACAAGAAATTGTTTGTTTTCAATACCTTTTTTGTTCTCATTTAACAGTTTCCTCTTGTCGGTGCAACTTATTCATGCATCCTCTTCCAGCCAGCTCTATCCCAGGCCATATCTTTGACCTCCCTATACGACATGACGCCTAGTGTTTCCTTTATCTGTCCCATGTAGTTATTCCTCGGTCTTCCTCTTCCTCTTTTGCCCTTTATTTTTCCTTCTACTATGCTCTTTAAAAAATCGTCATGTCGTATAAGATGACCCAGCATTTTGCCCTACGTATATACTTAAATTATTTATTTATCATCTACACTAATATTATAAAGAGGATTTTTTTGTGTGTGTATGTTTGTAATGAATAAACTCAAAAACTACTATACCGATTTCAAAAATTCTTTCACCATTAGAAAGCTAAATTCACCCTGAGTAACATAGGCTATATTTATTGCTAGAAAAGGTTAGGGATCCTTACTAAAACATTAGTAACGTAACTCAAGGTGTAAAAAAATGCTATAAAATATCTTTCGTCGCGTGCGCTGCGGAAACTATTGGTGATAGAACAAAAGTATGTTCTACAATATTGAAGAAAATATCAATTACTACAAAAAACTTCACAATACTATATGTCCAACTATTATCGTTATGTCACAATAACCACTTTTTAAAATGTTGTAAAAATATCCACCCGTGCGAAGCCGGGACGGGCCGCTAGTTTATTTATATTTTAACGTTTAGGTCGTCTAGTAGGTTGTTTAATTAATGGCAATTACTGACAACCCCCCCTCCCCCCATTGGGGGAGGCCTATGTTCAGCAGTGGACAATTTACGGGTTATATGGTGATGACGAAACCATACATATAAATATAGTATGTTCGTAAAGATAGAATTACATTTCATACAAATAATTTGTAACAAATTAGAACTGTTTTTACCAGCTCTAGTTACAAGTTACTATATCTCATAAAGCTTATCGTTGTTTTGGTATATATTTATTTTATTTATTTATTTATTTAAAGACACCAACAGCATATTGCATTATAACATATAGGTATAATAATAATAATAAAGCCTTTTATTTATTTCCATATTCCTAATATATTTACAGTATTGTTAATATCTAATCTATTTATAATTTTTCTTAATAACTAATTGTTAGTGTAATTCTTTGATTCTTGGATATGGACCCCTCTTTGGGTGAAGGCCTCCTCCATCTTCCTCCACAACTCTCTGTTTCTGCCTATCATAAACCAGTCTTTCACATATAGGTATAACAAACATTAAATATAATACAATATTAATGCACACGCCTGTTATAGGTATTCACAGCATTTACTTTGACATAGTTATGCAGTGCGAGAAAATTAAGTAAATAATAAAAACAAACATGTAACCCAAGTTGTGAACAATATCAGAAAATACGATTATGAGTGAATTGAATGTATATTCTGACACTTCCCTATGGTTGACTGGGAGAGAATGCTTTTAGCATTAAGTCCGCCATGTACACATATTTGTACTAATGAATAAATAAATAAATAAATAAATATTTATATTGTATAAAGTTTATGTATTATATGTGTATTTCTTATGTATTATTATGTATAATTATTTCAGTATGTTGCTATAATTATGTCACATATTTTTCACCACATCTGCCCTTCATACGCTTTCTGTTTTCACCTAATGGTTAGCTGGTAGAGAATGCCATATGGCATTAAGCTCGCCACTTGTACAAAGTTTTATTGTGCTATAAAGAATAAATAAATAAACAAAACTGTTTTTATGAATGATAACGGATTTATCTATGATCACCATTGGGAGATGATAGGCAGGTCATTTGGCCCATCGCAACAAATTGTCTTAGCTTAAGTTTATTTACATCATTACGTAACAGTCCTTGCGGTAATCTAAGGGACGCCTGTTAACCAGAGATATTATTACACTAACTTCTAAGAATTCTATACTGTAATCTCCTGGGAAGGACACAGTAGGAAGCCCATTCCACAATTTCAGTGTTAACGAGAAAAACTAATATGAATGCCATGTAATTATACCAATCGCCTAGTCTTCAACGCTACGAATACCTAGGGGCATAACACGTAATTAGAAATTGTAATCTACGAAAAAAAAAACACCTTAAAATGTGACAAAATCAGTCATTTTTACTTAATAATTAATTTTAAATTAAAACTACTGTTAATACATATGTATCACGTCTCCAAATTTAGAATTAAAAGAATTTTTCATCGTGCCTCCGATCAAATTGTTTATAATTACTCCTCTCCATCCAAAAGTTGCCTGGAAGAGATCGCTCTTAGCGATAAGGTCGCCCATTGTTTTCTCACTGTGATTATTTCTTGTAATTGTTTATATTTATAATAAGTTTACTATTGTAATCTTTTGGAGGAAACAATAAATAGTATCTATCGATCTATCCATCTACTGTACCAATTTTTATAAAATTTAAACATAACTTTGTCTGCTCTAAACCAAATGCTTTTCCAAATATGAAAATTATTATTTTTTTATCTGAAAGGAAATACTTACAAATTAATTCCTTAAAAAATTTTTCTAAATTAATTTCAATAGTTTACTTTTTAAATGAAAATAACAGGGTTTGCCACAATGTATCTCAGTTTATTTTTTTATACAACTTAGAATGACAAACAAGCTGACAGCCCACCTGATAGAAAGTGGTAACCGTCGCCTATAGACATGAGCAGTACCATGGACATAACAGAGTATACTGTTTCACCAATGACACCCCCCATGCTTTGGACTCAGGTGTAATTCCCCTGTACCCTGTAAATTCACTGCCCATATAATCACCCTTCAAACCGAAACACAGCCATGCAAACACAACACATTTATTTGTATAAAACAATCAATTATAATTCTCATTACTGTATTATTATTATTATTTTGAATCGAATGCAATGTTCTAGATTTTTCGTTATTGACCAAATTCGTGATTAGGAATTACAAAATAGTTTAATATTTCAATTATATCCTATAATTAGTTGTTAAAGTTCAAACATTTAAAATCATTAATCATTACGATTCATTTGTATCACACTTTGTAATTACTTTCGAGTATGACCATATTGAGTATTAAATATATATGGAATTAACCATGATAGTTTCCAGGGGGAACCGCGAGGAGGTCGACCTGTTTCGTTTTTATTGCTAGCAATGGGATTCTCCAGTCTCCATTACTAACAATCCCTTTCCCCCCTTTCAGATGTATTCATCATGATGGTCTAACTGGTCCGTTTTCATTCTTATCTATCACCCTTCACTAATGCTCCGCCAGCGTATCCCGTTAGCGCAGGCGGGGTTATCATACCATTTTCACCCATCAAATAAAAAATACACCTGAAATTCAGCACGATGGTGTCCGGAGGGGGGGGCACGTTCCAAATGGCAATGGTAGTTAGACTTTGAAGATGTTTTAAGAGTGACGCTGCTGTCCATCCCTCGCCTTCCCTTAGTCGCCTCTTACGACACCCACGGGAAAGGAAGAAGTGGCCTATTCTATGCCGGGACCACACGGGAATGCTCACTTACTATTCACCCATTAAAAGTAACTGCAGTTGCCAACTCGCCTGTAAAACGTGGCAACTAACAGCAAAACTCCCGTTTGGGAAAGGCCTATGTCCAGCAGTGGACAGTTAAGGGCTGAAATAATAATAGTAATACATACATACATAGATATACCTTTCCGACTTAACAGTATTTGTTTTAATTGTAATAATGGAATGGAAACCTCGCCTGCGCTATTGGTATACACCGGCGGGGCACCAGTGGAAGATGATAGGTGAGAACGAATGCAAGTCAGTTGGTCCATCATGATGAATTCAACAATGAATCAATCACTATGGTTTCCAGGGGGAACCACGTGGAGGTCGACCTGATAGGGTATATTGCTGGCAATGGGATTGCTAATCTCTATTACTAACAATCCCTTCTCCCCCCGTCACACCAGTATTAGTAAATATTACATGATAATAACCGTCTTTAAAAAAAAAACGTTCACGCTCACTTTTTTACTTTATCCGAGCAGTAAGTGCTTTATATTATTCTCAATTTCATGTATAATATAGTATATGTCATATATGTGTAAGTATATTTGTTATTCATATATATTTATTCGTTTATATATGTAATTTTAGTA